AATAAAACATTGTATATGATGTAATAAATGTTTCTCTGTTTATGGTAACCTATCTCACAAAGAAAAAAATCTTCCTTATTTGACATTTTAGCAAAATAAATTGACTGGTTATTTAGTTAATTGGTTAATAAATGAATAAATTATTGTATAAAATAATATTTTTTCATAAATTCACATCAGCAATAGCAAGCTAAATTACAAAAATATATATTTATGTTAATATAAATCCTTTCACTACCGACAGCTATGAACGACGACAATAATACTGCTTTAACAGTTATCGAAGCAAACAAGCGACCAAACTTCAAAAAACGTAAAATAAACCGTTAATTTATCGATTAATTAATCGTTCGATATTAATCGATTCGGTAATACCGAAATTACCGACGGTCGATTCAAGCCATTCCGTATCCGCTTCGAATTTTGCTGGTCAGAATCGAGGCAAGTATCAAAGAGATAAGCTAGAGAGAAAACATAATTAACATATTTGTTTTTATATCTTCATAATAATAACAATTACTGTTATACTCTATTTATATATATATATTTATTTATTTATTTATATATGTATATATATATATATATATATATATATATATATATATATTGTTACTTCAAAATTTTGAAACATATATTAAAATATATTATTAAACATAAATTCAAATATATTATTAAATAATATTAAAATACTAACTACAGAAAGAGCTATGATGCCAAAGACAATTGCTATTAAATAAAAAGCCCATGGGACGACTTTAGCCATTGACTGATCGACAAATGGCTTACATGGCTGTTTGAAAATAGCATAAAACATAAATTTTCCCACAAATCCGTTATAAAGAAACATACTATGTGTATACTAAACTATGATAACAACGCATCTCTTCACATTACAAGACAACGTAGTTGGTTTTTCCGTTATAATTTATGGTTAAAACAGGAAAGGATATTTTAAATGGAAGTATGGAGCGTGTGTTCTATCACATAAGCAGTAAGAATAAATAATAATTGAACATTGTAGAGAACAAACTTTGCTGAAAAGCGTAGAATCCAAATGTTGGCACGTTCTAACACTAGATCCACAGCATGACTTCGGCAAATAATTATTTTTTCTAGTAAACTCAGGCGATAATTCATCTATCCAGAAGTCTTCAAAGCTTTCGTATCCGCAACATAGATACTTGAAGTTAAAGTTATAACTTATAACAGCGATGGTGTGATAGATACTATAACATTGATGATAGCACAATTGCATCATACTATGATATCATTGGTAATAAAGACTGTGGCGATATAGGGATAGATATCATAAAGATTATGATGATACCGCTATATCGTTATATTGATGTTAACAAATATTATGATATCAGGATATCAACAAATTAGCCAACCTTCTTTTGAAAATCATCGATTGTTTTCTTCGTGCCTGGATCTTTATAATTTTTAATCATTTGCGGGAAACTTGCCTGCACCACTATGGATGACAACTGTAATAAGTTAAAATTTCATGGTTCTACAATTTTACGATTTTATAAGTTCATGATTTATGATTTCATAATCTTATTATATTAAATTACTACAGTACTACTACTACAACTACTGCTATTGCTACTGCTGCTGCTACTACCACTACTACTACTTGCTGCTAATACTACTACTTGTCGAAAATAAAAGTAGAAGAGATGAGATTGATTAAATAGATTTTGTCATTTTAAAATGTCTTAAATCTAAGAATTTAAGCTTGAATTTGTATTAGTTGTAGTACCAGTAGTAGTAGCAGCAGCAGCAGTAGTAGCAGCAGCAGCAGCAGTAGTAGAAGTAGTAATAGTAGTACTAGTAGTAAGTAGTAAATATTAGTAGTAGTTGTTGTTGTAGTAGTAGTAGTAGTAAATCATAAATCAAAATTATATATTTTTTGCAAAAAAGTCAAATTATTGAGAAAGTTATTGAATTCATTTAATACCACATGTTCCATGACATTTTGGTATTTACTTACAACGCCCTGTTTTTATCTTTCAAGTTAGCTCGTTTGTGGCAATAAATACGTACAAATTTTATTCAAACAAATTAAACATTTAGATCAAAAATTTAAATTAAATTTATTAAGATGTAAAAATAACCGTTAATAGCACTATTATATATTTATTCACTGATTTGAAAGCTTTAACAACATCGGCATTGATAAAACAGTGCAACGAAAATGTTTAAAGTATGTCTAAGTGTCTTAATTTTAGACCGCTCAGATACAAAACCAGAAAGTTTCCAAAAAATTCCTAAACTGCGTGTGTGTATCAGTATGAGCATATATGTTCAAGTGTGTAGGTAGGTAGTTCAAGTATTATTCAAACGTGTGTGTGTTAACGCGACCATGTTTGTAAGAATGTTTTGTTATTTGCCTGTTTGCCAGAGAGGATATTTGTGCGATCGAACCCGGATACTTCATAACCGGAACTGACGCCTATAATAGTTAGGCTACCATAGCGCCAGAAAATAAAATTAATTGAAACTTTATGTTCAGTTGTTCATTTAGCATTGAAATTGAAGTGTCATTAAGCTAACCACGCTGCCGAAAAACAAGGTGGCTACTATGAAGATGATGCAGATCACTAAGGTACAGGCCAAAACTATGCAGTACTGAGTGGATGGATGGATGGATGGATGGATGGAGGGATGGGTGGATGGATGGATGGATGGATGGATGGATGGATGGATGGATGGATGGATGGATGGATGGATGGATGGATGGATGGATGGATGGATGGATGGATGGAAGGATGGATGGATGGATGGATGGATGGATGGATGGATGGATGGATGGATGGATGGATGGATGGATGGATGGATGGATGGATGGATGGATGGATGGATGGATGGATGGTTGGACGAAACAATATAATTTCAAATAATTGTTAACCTTGCAAAAATCTAAAAAAAAACTCATATTACAATCTACAGAATTTTCTTTTTAATACAAAAAATGCAATTTGTTATTAGAAAAATTATCATGGAAAACGATAGATGGCGAACAATGATGAGTAGGCATGAATTCTTCATAATGGCCCCAAGAAGTCCAAAAATTGCAACCGCAACGATGATTGCACTTGTGACTATGTTGCCAACTGAACGGTTGTTTACATCAGGTCCAGTGTAATTTACGATGGCGCCAATGAGCCCCATTATACCCAAAATCTGTAACAGATGGATGGATGGATGGATGGTTTTATGGATGGATGGACGGACGGACGGACGGACGGATGGATAGATGAATGAATGGTTAATTTTAGCTAAAAGTAAATCACAAAGGTTCAAAGAAGGTTTGATTTTTTTTGAAAATTTTGTAACATCCTTCTCAATAAGGCTAGAACCCTCTATTATAAAACCTTTCTGTACACCGAACAAAAATGCGATGAGTCATACATTTTTAGAAAAGAATATTTTCCGCGGCTTAATTTTAAACTTATAATTTGTTGGAATATTTTCCATTGCAACCTCCAAAATTATCTCAGATATAATTAAAACTCAACCTGGGAAGAATAAAAACTGCAAGGAAAAATATGAAGACCCATAAACGAATGTATGACATTGAGGAGATGATTGGTGTTCAAAGTTAGAAAAACTCGATAAAAGTCACTCTTACGAAGAAATTACTTATGGAAGCATTTAGAAAAATAAAAACCACCTATTCAACTTCATTTTAAATACAAATTACTCGTCACCACATCTTGTTGTTGAGTTACTCATAAAACATTTTAAGCGAAAAACATTTTAATGATGTACAGTAAACGGTAAATGTTGTCATGTTGTTTCTCTTGCTCACCATGAGTAGGATGCAGAGTATGGAAACACTGATCTGGAGGCACTTCACTGACGCTGACATCTTTCCACTGTTTCAAATTATGGAAAGTTAACTGGCGTAGTCATGGTAAAAGTATTATTATTATTATTTGTAGTAGTAGCAGTGGTAGATAGTAGTAGTAGTAGTAGTCGTAGCAGCAGCAGCAGCAGTAGTAGTAGTAGTAGTATTAGTAGTAGTAGTAGTAGTAGTAGTAGTAGTAGTAGTAGTAGTAGTAGTAGTAGTAGTAGTAGTAGTAGTAAAAATAGTAGAAGTAGTTGTTGTAGTAGTAGTAGTAGTAGTAGTAGTAGTAGTAGAAAAAAAAGTAGTAATAGTAGTAGCAATAGTAGTAGTAGTAGTAAGTAGTAGTAGTAGCAGCAGTAGTAGTAGAAGTAGTTGTAGTAGGCTTTTCGGTATAGTTTGGATTTATTTTAGTTTGTTTTATCAAAAAAAAATTATAAAATAAACATCGTTGTAAATGGGTGAGAATAAGAATCTGAATAAGAATGTTAAAAATTGAAAAATACAACCGAAAATTTCTTTTTTAACAATTGATAAAATAGACTAACATTTAAATCTTTAGAAACCTCTTGAAAAAATAATTTTAACACAATATTTAAAACGAATTCGTTTCAAAATAACAATTGCACTATACTTCGATATAAACTGAAAAAACAGATATTCGATATATAGCAGTAGCTACAAGCTATCTCGCTTAAGAAGAACTACGTGCAAAACAACTTTTGCTAAGATTATACCGTATGTATATATAAGTGTGTGTGTGTTTGTTTGTGTATGTGTGAATTTGTTTATGCATGTATGTATGCGTGTGTGTGTGTGAGTATTTAAATATTTATACAAATATATATCTAATATATGTTACATGGAATATTGGTAAATATTCATCGTTTATTCAGCTAGTTCGTGTGCGCGCCTATATTTACATTCTTATATAGGCATTGAAGCTTGTATGTGCATTCACTTTGGGAAAAATGTTTATTCATGGGTGTTATATTTTATAAAGTAGTGTTTTATTTAACAAAAATAACTAGGCTGTTATATATATATATATATATATATATATATATATATATATATATATATATATATATGTGTGTGTGTGTGTGTGTGTGTGTGTGTGTGTGTGTGTGTGTGTGTGTGTGTGTGT